CTAAGTAGAGATATAGGTCAGCTTAATAGCGATTTGGTGCTCAAATATTTCTTGAGATCCGCTAAAGCATTACTGCATTATGCCATCCCGCCGACACCTTCCTTCAACTCCTTACTTCATCTTAAAGTTGTGAAGAAGGAGAGATTCCTTGCAGCTAACTTTGAAAGGAACTGCCCTAAAGCAGCTATTCTGCCATTCAGCTTCTGGACATCCTTCAATGTACGAGCTTCAGGCATTTGCTCTATGGTAGCTATCTCCTTAGGATTGATTTCAATGCCCCGTTGGGTGATTATAAACCCAAGGAATTTACTCAATTGCACACTGAAGGTGCACTTGGCTGGAGCTTTATGCGAAAGCATCATAGGATGGAAAAAGTTTCATCAAGATTCGACATGTGAGAGACAACTTGCTTCGACTTCACAAGGATGTCATCCATATATGCCTCCACATTGTGGTTGGTTTGGGGTTTGGATATTTTATTCACTAATCTCTGATAAGTGGCTCTAGCATTCTTGAGACCGAATGACATCACTTTATAGTAATAAGTCCTTTTGTCTGTAATGAAAGAAGTTTTCTCTTTGCATTCTCAGCCATTATGATCTGGTTGTATCCAAAAAACATTCATAAAACTAAGCAGTTCATGACAAGTGCTCTTGTCAACCAATTGATTAATCCTCGGAGCGGATAACCATCCTTTGGGCAGGCTTTGTTTAAATCCATGACGTCCACACACATTCTCCACTTGCCAGTAGATTTCTTGACCAACACTACATTGGATAACCACTCTAGATATTGGACTTCTTGGATGAAGCCCGCCCTGAGTAGGCCGTCAACTTCTTCTACAACTGCCTTTTGTCTCTCGGGCCTGAGATGCCTCTTCTTCTGTTGAACCAGCTTGTTGTGTCGGTCGACTGAGAGTTCATGGCTTTTCACTTCTAAGGAATTCTAGGCAAATCCTCAGGTCCCCAAGCAAAAATATCTACATAGTCGTGTGGGAATGCGACTATAGCTTCTTGTTGTGGCTCCATGAGCCCTGATCCAATTTTAGCCTTCTTCGAATCATCGAGGCTAATTAGTATTTCATGCAATTCTTCTACGGGAGTCATCCATCCCCATTCTTGGTCTCTTCGCAATTGGAGCTACATCTTCTTGATTGGCAATGTTTTTAGAACTTTTTCCCCTTCATCAAGAGTAGATAGCATGATCTACCTTCCTACAGAGCCGACTCCTTCTGGGTCGAAAACTTCACCATCTGATGGTAAGTTAACGGGACAGCCTGTATGTTATTCAAGGAAGTTCTACTGAGAATAAGGTTATAGGCAAACTTCACATCCATTAAAATGAATTAGGTTTGAATTGTAGGATGGTGAGGATATTCGTCAACCACTAGAGACAGAGTGATCAATCCCTCTAGTTAGACTGATGTCCAGAGAACCCAATAAGGGGACTTAGGCAGGGTCGCAAGTCTCACTTGTTGATCCCCATTTAGGTGAAGGCCTCCATAAACAAGATGTCGGCGCAACTTTTAGTATCCACTAAATAGTCAGTCTATCTTATTTTCTTTCATTTTATTCTCACATCGCTTAGAGGGGGTTTGTCAAGTAGAACTCAAAACCGGAACTAGGATAATTTGTGAGATAAAATTTTATAGTGTTAATCAATTATAATAAAAATTTATAGTGTTAATCAATTATAATAAAAATTTATAGTGTTTGTCATCTTGAATTACAACTAAACTAGAATTGAGATAACTTTACAAAATTATCTCACTTTTTTCATTTCTCTATAACAAATGCTAAAGTAGCAGATTAGACTAAAAAGTAACACTCCTTCACCAGTTTAGCCTAAAAAGTAATGCCGGTGATAGTTTAGCCTAAAAGTGAGAAAGATGATGAAAAATAAGCATTTCCAATATCAAAGATAATTTTTAAGCAAAAAAATAAGTGATTTTTACAAATAGTATAATTTTTAAGCAAAAAAAATAAGTGATTTTTACAAATAGAGTCCCCCATATTTTCAGATTTATCCCCTAAAGTTCTAAAATATACATAAAAAACTTCTCTCTCTCTCTCTCTCTCTCTCTCTCTCTCTCTCTCTCTCTCTCAAATATGTATAAAAAAACTTCTCTCTCTCTTCCCTCCACCCAGACCATCTCCTCCCTCCTTCCCACCATCTCCTCCATTTATTTTTCATCTTGATCCTCAACTTCCCCTCCTCTCTTCCACTCTCTTTCTCTCTCTTTTCTCATATCCTCCATATTACCTCCACCTTTCCCTCCTTCTCAAAACCCACCTCTTCTTAACTTCTTTTGTTTTTTTCTCTTTTCTTTGTCCTCTTTCTCCTTCTTTCTCTCTCCCCTCTCCTTCACTCCCTCATAATGCTTCAAATAAAATATTTGATGTTAAGTCTGAGAAAGAAAGAGGATGAGGAGATTGAGTTTTTAATGATTAGAGGGTGAAGAGAGAGTGAGTAGAGCAAAAAGGAGAGGGAGAGAGAATGGGAGAGACAAAGAGGAGGAGGTTGAATTTTTAATGATTAAAGCGTGAAGAGGGAGTGGGCGGAGCAAGGAGGGAGAGGGAGTGGGAGAGAGGAGTGAAGGTTGGAGATGGGAAAGGAAAGAGAATGAAGGAGATGATAGAAAGGAGAAGGCAAGAATGAATATGAGAAAGGATAGAGAAGGAGTGGGAGAGAAGAAGGAAAGTTGGGGATTGGAGGAGAAGATAATGAAGGAGATGAAGGGAAGGAAGAAGGAAGAGATGGTGGGAAGGACGAAGGAAGAGATGATGGGAAGGGAGGGTTTTTTATATAAATTTTAGAATTGTTTTGGAGGTTAATTCGAAAAATATGGGAGAGTGAGGGGTCTGTATGCAACAATCACTTAATTTTTCACTTGAAAATTATCTCCGGTATAAAAAAAATGCCTATTTGTCATCGTATTTGTCATTTTTTAGGCTAAACTATCACCGACATCATTTTTAGGCTAATCTAATATTTTAGCTCTAGAAATAATGGGAGTTCTAGTCTCTCAAATTATTATAAGTTTTAGCTTGGAACTATGTGGTAAAAATTTAGAACTCTCCTATTTTTTCTTATTTTTTATTTTTCATATTTTCCCCTCTACCTCTTTCCTCTAATGGTTATTATCATCTTTAGACCATGCCGTCAGAGTAGAATATCGTCTCTTCTTACTCATCTCTTAAAATGATATTTTATTTTAAAAATTTTAGTATAAGTAATAATTAATTTAAAGGTAAAGAAATTATAGATCCATAATTTTATTTGAAAATAAATTTAGTTAACATTCTAGTAAATGATTATCAATCAATAATAATAAGTTTAAAATATATAAATAGTATTTATATTATCAAAATGCATAAAATATGTACTTCATGATTATAAAAAATTAGACCATGTCACAATATCAAGATATCATGCTTCACAAAATTATTCCTAATTATCCTAGTAAAATATCCCACTAGCAAAAAATTATCCTACTTTAACAATTATTCCAATTCTCATGAAAATGTTCCAACTGACTAACACACCCTTAAGTCGTAGAACTTCTCTCCTTGCTATTGTATATAAACATTTTAATGCAATGAATAATATTATCTTTTTTCTTCCCAAAAGCTCTATTCTTATCATGGTATCAGCGCCTTGTTATTAACACTAGAGAAACTTCTCTCTTTTTTCTCAATCTCGAGCCGCTGAGGGGGGTTTTCCCGCAAACTTTGTGCTTCTCCTTGGCGGCCTCGACATGTCTACGCAAAAGAACCATCTACGCAAAATTGGCTCACCTTATCCAAACTCTTGGTTCTATACACATCATGAATTTGACGATGGGTGTTAAATAAGATAGTGAGGGTATCTTATTTTTCTTTATTTTAGTCCCACACAACTTAGGATTCTAGATCTTCTTTTCTTGCTATTGTATATAAACACTTTAATGCAATGAATAATATTGTCTCTTCTCTTCTCAAAAACTCTATTCTTATTATGTGGGAATCGAGTTAATTGAGAATGGTCATTCTCATGTTTGGATGCAATTAAAGAATGAAGTGGGAATAATAAGCTTTTTTATTTTCAATATGGGTAATTAGTAAATAATCGAGACATATTTGAAATTTAACACTTAAGTGGGAATGCTCATTCTCTATCATCTCATTTGGGAATACTTATTTCCAGTGAAGTGGGAAAGAAAAGAGAAGTGAGAATAAACATTCCATTCGCACTCATTCGCGAGTACCAAACGAGACAAAAAAAGTAATAATAAAGTATTTAAAATTTTTATTGAAGTTTCAATCTCTCTCCTCATGCATCAACTTTAAGAGGGTTACAGAAGGTGAATAAATTTGTTTATTTTTAACTCTCTCTTCTAACTCCTGTTCTTATTGATTAAAAATTATAAAAAACATAATTTTTTGATGTTTACATTATAATCTTTTACCCTTTTTCAAATAGAGATCCTATCAAAACCATCTCTATAGGGGTGGGGTAATCTACACAATTGATAGAGTAGACCACAATATCATAACTAATACTCTATTTATTTGTGAATAATATAGTTTATCTCATTCTATGAAGTGTTCTAATAGAATCTACACCTTCTAAAAAAACCTAATTCACTAGAATGAATATGCGGAAATAGTTCTAATGGATTTTGTGAAATTGATCATTTTTTGGACTACATATCCTTTCAGAATGTCTCGCACCGTGCAGAACGTTCTGAGCAGCTAATTTACGGAAGTATAGGGGTATTTCCGTAAATTACCTCCTCCTGTTCGGACCGCGCACGGTGGGGGGTTCGCTCTTTCCTTCGCCTCTCTGTCGTCCGTCTCACAGCGGATCCCATCCCGTCTCCTTTTCTTGCAGAATGAGCCACGTGTTTCCTTTCCAGATTCTGCTCAAACGTTTCCGTTTCCGTTTCCGTAAGGGAAAACAAGAAGCAAATAAAATCAATCCTCCCGCTGTCTCAAGGGTAACAATGACGATAAGATGAGCACATAACGTACTCTCTCTCTTCTCTCTCTCTCTCTCTCTCTCACGCGATAATAAATAAGCTGACCCAAACCGAATTCAATTTTCTCTCCCTCTTTTGCTTCTCTCTTTCACCCACCGCTCAAATTAAAACATGGGGAAACATGAGAAGGATCAAGCTCCCATGGAGTTGGAATCAGAGATGGAGAGGCTCCCTCTAGACCTCCTAGCCCATATCTTCACCCTCCTCTCCTCCTTCAGAGATTTAGCTCAGTAATTCCTCTTAATTCTCAATTTTATGAAATGGGTTTTTTTGTCCATTTATTTACTTATTTTGTTTGTTTGTTTTTTTGAGTTGGGTTTTTTTTTTTTTTGTAGGGTGAGTGGGGTTTGTAGGAAATGGAGGAGAGCGGTGGAGCAGTCGATGGCGGGGAGAGAGAAGCTCAGCTTCAACGGTTGGAAGATGGATGATGAGTCAACTGCTCGGCTTGTCCGACTTGCTTACTGCCTGAAGGAACTCGACATGTTTGTGCTCTCAATTATTTATCTATTTTTCTCTCTTTTATATCATATATCATTTCTCAATTCGTTGCTCTTTATCTCGTTACTGTTTGTAGAATTGTTTCATCTGGGGGAATATTAATACTAGCGTAGTTATCTGCAAACACTCAAGGTGTTTGCTTGGCGACGGGTTAAATGGGTTGATGAGGAGTTAAAGGATAGTTAATCTCTCCTTAATCAAAGGGCTAAGATAACCCTTTTAAATGGTGGGTTTACAAACCCACATGTTTGGACAGTTTAAAAAAGAACATCTTTATCTATGAAGAGAAGTAATAATAACTTTTCTCTTCTCAAACCCTTAAAAGCTCGAGGGCTAAAATAAAAGTTGGTTAAGGAGTTATGGGTTGACTAGCTTAACCCCCTTCCTTGAACCTCCATCAAGCGAGGCCTAAGGCATTATTCATGTTCAAGTATGTATATTTCCTGATTCGGTGGTTAGGAGGCAGAAGAAAACAGTTCGTTTAAGGGGTATTTGGTTGCCTTGAGCTGGAGCCAGACGTTGCTTTAGCAACATTGCACTTGTTTTTTTGGTGTTTTTGCAACAAAATTTTGTTCTTGTACTTGCAACTACATTTGAGACCTCAAATCATGTAGATGTAGCTATACTCAAAATTATGAGGAATGTATGTCCAAGAATAGTCGTTTGGTCATGACGATTATGTTTTAGTTGTTTCTACGTTTATATATAGGAAGGTAGACAAACAACAATAAACAAGTTTTAGTTTTTTTTGATATAATTAGACTCTTAAATTTAGTTCCTCTAACCATTACACCAAAACTCCAAAGTTATGGTGAGGATCAAGGATTATAGTTTTATATTAGTTCTAACATGCCCCCGCAGGTCGAGCGCCCTTTTTTTATGGATCGAAACCTGGACTCACGTAGCGGTGTTAATTTTTAGAAAATCCGCATTTAAACCTGGGTTGCTCTGATACCATCTTAAATTTAGTTCCTCTAACCATTACACCAAAACTCTGAAGTTATGGTGATGACCAATGATTATAGTTTTATATTAATTCTAACATAGACAAACATGCTGCTGAGCAACATGTGGCTGGAGGTTCACTAGTTTTTCGATAACAAGAAAAGGTATAAGAGTTTTTAGGAAGCGAAATATCTAAAGATATAGAATTAGGCTCATAATGATTTTGCTTTTGGTTGGTTTTTATCAATTACCAACCTTGAGCTCAAAAAATATTAGCTGCTCTTTGAGATATGTTGTGTAGGATACCACTTTCTATTGTAATTTTTTAGCTGTGGTAGGTTCAGCCGCGATGAACTATTAGCATACTTAACCTTAGAAATCCAATACTACATTAGATTTATATATTGAAGGCAATTTTTCAAGGCACAAATCATGGGGGTAATGTATATATATGTACTCTGATTTGTGTATCTTGAGAAGAAGAAGATGAGAAAGTATTGTTCTTCCCAATTTGAATAGTATGAGACTTTGCTATTAGTATGCCAGTATTTGTAAGAACGACAAGCTTGGGAAAGGAATTAGACTGAAAGTGGCTAGCAAAAATACCGAATTCTGCAGGAACAAAAAGGTGGGCTAAACTTATTCACAACTTATCAATTTTTTAGTCCACCTGCACTGACTCTACATTAACTACACTACTATTCTTATTACGATTAAAAGATGAACCTAAGCTGGAGACTTTTTTGTACATAAACACTTTGAAATTTTAGTAGATTATTGAGAAAGCATCTACTCGTTTTGGAACCTTTTCACTATCAACATAATACCTCATGAAACTGACAAGTTATTAAAGCTAATCCAGATGATATTTCTTAGCAATCTTAACATTGTTCACCCGCACAAGAAAACTGTACTGCAAGTCTTTTTTAGATAGATGACTAATATTTTCAGAGACCTGTGCACAAGCATCAGTAGTCATCATTTATCTGCGGCCGTATCCTCTGTGATCTCTAATCCTGTAACTAAATGAAAAAGTTATCTGTATTTCAGTATAGCAATGAATTCTGAAACATGAAATTTCACTACTGTAAGCATTTTCTCTGAGTAGTTATATGACTATTCTATTTTAATTCGCTGTGTTTCTGTAGTTCTCGCAGTTGCTGGGGTAGTCATATAACTGATGCAGGGCTCTACCAGATATCTTTGGCGAAGTGTGCCAGCAGCCTGACATCTGTATCCTTGTGGGGTATGACAGCAATCACCGACAAGGGTGTGATTCAGCTGGTACTAATTTCCCATACTTTTAAATACATCAACCATTTATTTGTTAACTCCCATAACTCCAGGTTGTAGTTTCTATTGAGATTCTTGCATCACTAACTGTGAATTTCGTATGCATTTTTTTGTTTGTGCTGGCTATTCTTTTATAGGGTAGTTTTACAGATCTTATAGTTAAATTTAAGACTAAATTGGAGATAAGTTGCCTCATCTATACCTTGAGTTGCACTTATCACCCCTCGACTTTTTTAATAGCACTTAGCACCCTTGGATTCTCACTTTGAGAGGGATAACGTTGCAGACTTGCCAGCTAACTCCCCTCTTTTTATGAATCTCGGGGTATTACGTGATAGTAAAGTTGAGGGGTGTAAAGTGCAACTCAAGATTTATAGGAGGGGGCTATCTGCAGTTCACCCTAATCTAAGTCAATACTGTATTGTTAGATAATTATGCTATTTGAACCTCTAGTAGGTTATATGTACTCTTGAGGATTTCTGTTGATATTTTTCCTTTTTTCTTATGAATCATAACTTATGATTGCACTGCAATCCTGTGAAACCTTTTGAAACTGGATTCAGATTCCAAAGTTTGCATGATACTTGTGGTCTCGGAAGCGGTTACACCTTGAGCAAAATTTCTGTGTGTAATAGAAGAGTTTGTTTTTGGTTAAGATTTTGATTATTTTAGAGAGACAATGAACAAGAAGTTGTTTTTATGTAACTCAATGTCCAAGGCTATAGCAGTTTTCTTTCATGCCAGGTCAATTTACTTTATATAACATCAAATCTAAGCCCCGTTAGATCCAGAGGCCTATAGGCATTGGTGGCCAAGAGTTGGGTAGAAAAGTAGATTATATACTAAGAAAAGGCTCATGGCAATATGATAAATGTAGCTGAATTAGAATTATAAGGTAGAGGTGAGCAAAGTAATATTGATGGTTGGGAAGCTGCTATGAAGAACTAACAGGGGTGGAAAGAGTTGAGTGGTTATATGTTTCTTATATAATTCCATTTTACTCGTTAAGACTAGAACACAGTGTCATGCCTTGGGCCCATGAGCCTGTTGGCGTGATGTAAGTCATAGGACCCACTAAGTGCAACTCATGATTTGGCCCAATCCGCTACCAAAATTGACTGGCCAATGCTGCACTTGACTCCTTTGACTTACATTAAAACCATTCAATCACTCAATCAATATATGATGTGAGACTAAATCTTGGGGCATCACGAGTTTACTTGCTTTGTTAATATTTACTATAACATGTAGCCTGCCACTCAGACTCTCTTATCAAAGTACCTTAGATGCAAAACCAACAATATGCAATCTTTGATCAGAAATTTTTCTTGTTGCATGGGTCAATATCAGTAGTCTCTTTAGGTGCAAAGCTATTCTAGTCAAACACAATATCTAGTCTGCATGATTTTTCTCTTGTATGAGCTCCGTTTCTCAAGCCATTTTACTGAGGTCTCATTAGCAGCTTTGGTTGCTAATCAAACTATTCCAAATTAAGATATGTTTAAAAGTAAAATTTTCATCTATCTTCTTTTTCACTTTAAGGCAAATAATATGGCAATAATTGAAGAGAGAAGTCATCTATCTGATACAAAAGAGGTGCATTTTAACAAATCATGATGTTCCTATTTGTCCATGGGAAAACCTTACTGTTAATTTTCTTCTAGTGCCTGAAGCATTGTTGAGATTTTTTAGTTGCTTGGACCATTATCAAATCCACACAGTCATGAAGCCACTAAAGCTGTTTGTGCCTATTCTTTCTCTTAGCATCTCTATGGGCTTTAGAAACTATAGAAAAATAGCTATCAGATTTTGTTGGGAATTGAAGGAAGAGATATTTGGGATCGGAGTCGGCTTTTGAATGGAGTAGTAGGCTTTGGAGCGGTTCTTCCTAATTGTTGGTTGTGAAAATAAATTCAGAAATTAGAGGGAGGGAGACGGAAGTGTACTAACTTAGTTGTGTAGTGGACAGAGCTGGAAACACTAAAAATGCAACACTTATTTAGTCTGGAAGTGTACTAACTTAGTTGTGTAGTGGACAGAGCTGGAAACACTAAAAATGCAACACTTATTTAGTCTTGGTATAGCACAAGTGTAGGTTGTAGTGGACAGAGCTGGAAACACTAAAAATGCAACACTTATTTAGTCTTGGTATAGCACAAGTGTAGGTTATCAGAACCCAAAATCTTGATTAGTTTCCTTCTCAATTGGTAGCCAGAGTTTGGTGCAGCATGAGACATATAAAGTTTATATGAGACAAAAGCCAGCTAAAATGGTTCTAATTTGTGGAAGCTATGCATTTTGATGAAAATCACGGATAATTCACTTGCGGATATGTATGTTCTTATTCTAAAAAGAATAGAAGAAGATGTTAAACGGGAAGATTCAAAGACTTCATAACTTTTGAAACTTGACTTTGGTATTCAGAGAAGACCTGCATTTACAAAGAATGAATCATGACTTTCTGTCTTCATGAGATATATGATAATCTGTATGATATAACGATATGCTTACAGTCCACTGGTGGAGATAAAATGGTTGGACATTGATGTAGTTGTTTATTTCATTATGAAAGTTGAGTTGACTGTATGATTTTTTAAATCATCATTTCGGCAATATTTGACACCATCCTTCTAATTCTCATGCAGGTTTCAAAGACCACTTCCTTACAACACCTGAATGTTGGTGGTACCTTTATTACGGATGAATCTTTATTTGCCATCGCAAACAGTTGCCCACATTTGAAGGTACATAACATTTGGCAAGATGTTGCACTAGGGAATAATTCAAACATTCATGTACTGAATTATAACCATACGTGAATAGATTTTTTTTATAATAATATTACCTTTTCTCTCCAGATACAGTGATCAAAATCTGTCTTCATATTACTAGTATGAAATCAAATTTACTTGTTTGAAATTATTGATCCTAGTTTCTGATTTATGGTTTTAAAGATGGGCAATGTTGAGACTTAAGAGCTTTCCACTTGATTAGTTAAATATTTATATCTACTTTCCTGATTAGTGACCAGCTTTGATTACGTCTGATAGTATAAATTACAAGAATAATTTAAGGATTGCTTATTCACAGAACTTTCCAAGCCCATGCTCAAAGATTTTTCAGACAAGTACCATCCTACAACTAAAATTTTTAAACATCTAATTGAATAGATTTTGACCCCACTAATTGTTTGCGTTAGACCTCATGTTCAACTATATGCATGAAATTTGTGCATATCAATTCAGATATTTGGTCTGTATTCATTGTATGAGCAGCCTCCATAAGAATCGATAGATAAAAATTTTAGACTGTCATGTTATAAATTACTCCTACCATAAAAAATGCATTCCTCGTTACACAATCTTCATACATGCCCCTCCTACATAACTGTTAAAAATATACTCATACATCTTGAGGATATGAACTAGTCTAATCTACTTGGACCGAAATGTTTCTTTACATCAAAACGAGGACATAGTTTAAGACACATTTTTTAAATGACTGTTCCAAATACTCAGGCTATCGGTCTATGGAGTTGCCGCCACGTGACAGAGAGGGGTCTCTTCATGCTTGTTAATAAATGTCGCGATCTTGAATCAATCAATGTTTGGGGAGTGAGAGTACCTGCTGCCTTTTTCATGAGCTTGCTCACCATCAGCCCGGCTCTCAAGATCAAACCCATATCACTGCATCAAAACATGGGAGGTGTGTTGCCTGTTGCCTAAGCCATATTACAATCCATTTGAAATGCTCTGTGTGCGTGCGTGTGGGGTTATTGTAAATAATTTGTGTGGGGTTATTGTAAATAATTTATGTTGTAATAACTAGTAATGTGGCCTCTTGGTGGTGCAACTTGCCTTTTTTTTTTCTTTCTATGCGGTTACAGTTTTTGTCTTGCTTCTCTGATATTCATAAAAAGTCAAAACTAAGCGATCTTTTATACTATGTTTGCTCTTTCAGGCTAGTATATGAAGTAGGTTGACTAATTTACTTTCAAGTTTTCTATTTGCATAGCTCATAAAGATAAATTACTCTCTGCGGGGACACAGTTAGAAATTTTATTCCCTTCTCCGTCGTGAGCTGCAACAGATTTTGAGTTTTTTTAATACACCGGGGACTTTCAGATTTCATCCAAGTTGGGATTCATAGTTAGCATTCTGATTTCACCCTCATCAACGTTAATTTCATAATGCTCTTAATTTGCTACTGTGATTAGTTCTTGTGATGGTACTCGTCTGTTCTACCAATATTCATCTCTCCTAGCTATTAACGTAATACCAATTAAGTGCGCATCTCTATGTCAAATGTGTTAGAATTCGTGCATAATCGAACGAAAATAATTACGAAGAACAAACAAGATAATAAAGATAAGTAATCACAAACACAAAGATTTACTTGGTACATCTAATTTGTGTCGCGCGCCTTTGCGGAAGCCTTGCACGAACTCACAACGAACCTGTGATCACGAGTAGAAGAAAGCCAAACACTTGCACAAACCAAGCCAATTACGACAAATCAAACCAAACACAAGGATATACGTGGTTCGGCAATTGCCTACGTCCACGGGGAGAGGATGGGGAGATTTCACTATATGGAGGAGAAATATAACGGGTTACAACTCACAAAATCACTCAAATATAACCCTAACCAAAGCTCTCAACTCCCTCACAATATCTCCCTCTCAAAGTGCTCAAAACAATGCTAAATCTCTTCTTTTCTCTCCTTAAGAAACCCTAAAAAACGTGGTCCTATTTATAATAAAACACAATCCCAAACAAAGGAGGATTCCTCAACAAATAAGGATTCTAAAAACGAGTCTGCCACACCCTGCACCATGGGTGTGGCAGAGGGTGTGGTGCAGGAGTGGTGCAGGACAGATTCTGCCACACCCTGCACCGTGGGTGTGGCAGAGGGTGTGGTGCAGGACAGGCTCTACCACACCCTGCACCGTGGCCACACCAGGGGGTGTGGTGCAGGACAGGCTCTACCACACCCATGGCAGACACCACACCAGGGTGTGGTGGAGCCTGTTTTGAGTTATTCTTCACGTTTTTCACAATTCCTTCGCCGTTTTCACAATTCTCCACCTCGGCGAAGTGTTCCCAACACTGAGCCGACACCAACATGAGCACCAATGTGTCGTCTCTCTAAACTCGGCTGCACCAATGCGGTTGCCTACGTACCCCCTCTCCCAAGGGATCAAGCCGCCCGTAGTTCATCCAAATGGCCGCCAACGGCCTCAACAATTACGAATGTGCAACAAGTTTCGACAATGATCAAACTTGTTGCTCGGAACCACCTTAGTGAGCATATCTGCCGGATTATCCTTCGTGTGGACTTTCACAATTTCCACATCGCCATCTTCAAGAACATCCCGAACGAAGTGATAACGAACGTCAATGTGCTTCGTCCTCGCATGAAAAACCTGATTCTTCGCCAAATATATAGCACTCATGCTATCGCAATGAATAGTGACGGATCGCTGCGATATACCAAGTTCTTCCAAAAGTCCTCGAAGCCAAATAGCCTCCTTCACAGCCTCCGTAACCGCCATATACTCTGCCTCCGTCGTAGACAAAGCCACCGTAGACTGTAAGGTGCATCTCCAACACACCGGCGCACGGGTCAAAGTGAACACATACCCCGTAGTAGACCGGCGCTTATCCAAATCCCCGGCATAATCCGAATCAACATAGCCAATGCATAGCTGCCCACCTGTAGTGTCCCGCTCATAAACCAAACCAACATTGAGCGTACCTCTAATGTACCTCAAAATCCATCTCACGGCGTCCCAATGACCCACTCCTGGATCGTGCATGTATCTCGACACCATGCTCACTGCCTGTGACAAATCCGGCCTCGTACATACCATCGCGTACATCAAGCTCCCAACTGCGCTCGCATATGGAGTCTTCGTCATCAACTCACGGTCTTCAACTGACTTCGGTGAAAGGCCAGCTGAAAGCTTCAAATGGGCTCCCAACGGTACACAAACTGGCTTCGTATCCATGCTAACATGGAATCGCTGTAGAACCTTCTTCAAATAAGCCACCTGTGTCAAACAAATCCTGCCCTTCTTCTTATCTCTGCCGATCTCCATCCCTAAAATGCGCTTCGCCTCGCCCAAGTCCTTCATCTCAAACTCATTCGAAAGCTGAACTTTCAACTCATCTATAGCTGACCTGGAACTAGAAGCAACCAACATGTCATCGACATAAAGCAACAAATAAATGTACGCACCTCCTCTCAACTTGCGAAAATACACGCAAGGATCAAACTGGCTCCGAGTGTACGAATGACCAAGCATAAAACCATCAAATCGCCTATACCACTGTCGAGGAGACTGCTTCAAACCGTATAGCGATTTCTTTAGCCTGCAAACCAACTTATCTTTCCCTGCAGCTCGGAATCCCAATGGCTGAGTCATATATATTTCTTCATCAAGATCACCATGAAGAAATGCTGTCTTCACATCCAACTGATCTAACTCCAATCCATACTGTGCCACCAAAGCTAGCAAAATCCGAATCGACGAATGCTTCACCACCGGAGAGAAAACCTCATTGTAATCAATACCTTCCTCCTGTGCATAGCCCTTCGCAACCAACCTAGCCTTGAACCTCACTGGAGTGCCCTCAATGCCCTCCTTCTTCGTGTACACCCACTTGCACCCAATCGCCTTCCGCCCCTTTGGAAGCTCTACAAGCTCCCATGTATCGTTCTTGTGAAGAGACTCCATCTCCTCCTGCATAGCCACCTGCCACGAATCAGCCTCCGAACTCTGCTCGGCCTCTCTGAATGTAGTAGGCACCATCTCATCGATACTCTCCACCGGAAGTGCATATGCAACTGTGTCGGCATACCGTGCTGGCACCCGTATGTCTCTCCTCTGTCTCCGTGCCGCAATAGAATCCTGAACCTGAGCCGTCGGTCCCTGATCCTGCTCATGAGTACCCGTATCCTCCGCATCACCGTCGTGCTCGCCTGGCGTCACCTCAGTCGGCACTCTCATGGATACTGCACTATCTGGACTCTGTGGAGCTGCATCAATCTCCACCACCTGCGAAATCTCCTCTGTCGGGTTGCTCTCCACCTGATGAGAGCTGGGAAGCTTCAAGATAGAAGCCTCATCGAATGTGACGTCCCTACTCAGCACAATCTTCTTATCAACTGGATCCCAAAGCTTGTATCCCTTGACACCACGCTTGAATCCTACAAATATGGCCTTCCTAGCTCGAGGTTCCAACTTATCAGTTCTAACATGATAATATGCAGGGCAACCAAATACCTTAAGCTGGTCATAGTCATGTGCTGTCTCTCCCGACCACATCTCCATAGGGGTCTTCCCCTCAATCGCAGATGAAGGCAGCCTGTTAATGAGGTGGCTCGCATAAGAAAGTGCCTCAGCCCAAAAGATCTTCTCCAAACCACTATGCGCCAATAAACATCGAATCTTCTCCAGCAAAGACCGATTCAATCTCTCTGCCACCCCATTCTGCTGCGGTGTATGACTAACTGTGAAGTGCCTCTCTATGCCCTCGTCTCGACATAGCTGCAGAAAGGGGTCTGAGGTATACTCGCCGCCGTTGTCGGATCGCAACGTCTTGATCTTTCTCCCAGTCTGCAGTTCCAATCTCTTCTTCCACTCCACAAACAAATCTAGGACTTCACTCTTATGCTTCATGGTGTACACCCAACATCGCCTAGAATAGTCATCAACGAACGTGACGAACCAATGTCGACCACCAAGTGATGCCGTCTTAGTGGGACCCCAAACATCTGTGTGCACGTAGTCCAAGATGCCCCTCGTCCTATGAATGGCCGTCCCGAACTTCACCTTCGTCTTCTTGCCAAGTACACAGTGCTCACAGAATTCTACTTTACCACTCTTGGCTCCCTTCAAAAGCCCCTGCTTGCACAATGCCTGCAGTGACTTTTCACCTGTATGCCCTAGCCTGTAGTGCCAAAGTCTGCTCATGTCCGCCTCTGAAATCGCCGAAGCAACCTGGCCAATCTCGGTGCTCCCCTTCAGATAATATAAATTATGATTTCGGACTCCCTTCATCACCACCAAAGATCCCTTAGTAACCTTTGCTACAGCATCCTCAAAGGTCACCCTGAATCCCTTCGCCTCCAAAGCCCCCACTGAGATAAGATTCTTCTTAAGTTGAGGAACGAATCTCACCTCCTTCAGCTCACGGACTACTCCATCGTGCATCCGAATCCTCACAGTACCTATCCCACGAACGCCACAGGATTGATCATTTCCCATGACCACAACACCCCCATCGAGTCTCTCAAATGATGAGAACCAATCTCGCCTAGGAGTCACATGATAAGTAGCGCCAGAATCAAGCATCCACTCCGATGCATCCAAATGGTTCACCTCCGGAGTAATCAAAAGAGAAAAGCTCGAATCATCGGAATCATCGCCTTTCGCAACATTCACCTCATTGGCCTTCGGGCCCTTATTCTTGCTATTCTCCTTTTCTTTGACTTTCGGGCAATCTCTCTTCCAATGTCCCTGCTCCTTGCAGAATGCACATTGGTTCTTTCTAAGCTGGTGACGACCTCTTGACTTTGACCTCCCTCTATTTCCACCTTTCTGATATGAGCTTCTACCTCTCGCCGACAAGGCCTCTCCTGAAGTACTAGCGCGGGAAGTCTCCTTATCCTTCCTCCTCAAATCATAGTTCGTCAATGCGTTAGTCACTTCACTATAAGTGATAGAAGATCTCCCGTTCAGCAACGTAAGCACGAAGGTATCATACTCCTCATCCGGTAAGGAGCCCAAAAGAATAATAGCCTTGTACTCATCTGTGATCTTCTCATCCACGTTCGCCAAGTCCGACAACAACTTAGTGTAGTTGTTCACATGAGCCGCAAGCGAGGTACCTCTGGACATCTGGAATCTGAATAACCTTCGCAGCAAGTGCAACCGGTTCTCAACACTCTTCGTAAGGTACTTATTGTTGAGAATTTCCCACATCTTCATCGCAGACGTCACCCCAATCACATCGTATTTCAGCTCCTGTTCCAAACAGGACCTGATCACCCCGCAAGCATTTCGATTCATCTTTTCCCATATCGCCTCTTCATATTTAGGTGGCCTCACATCGACCATGATGGTCTCCTCCAGATTTTGAGCATTGAGCGCATCCTGTACGTCGCTCATCCACAAACCAAAATTGATCTTGCCGTCATATTTCACAACACTAATCTTAGTGTTCTGAAAACCCACTTGAACTGTGCCTGTCATCTTGCTGCTTTCACCAATTACTTCACCCATAATCACAACTTCCAAATTGTAGAGAAAGATCCAAACTTTAAGAAGAATAAGAAATTACCCAACTGAACCCTAGATTGGATTCCAAATAGAACTCCTAACCACACGAGGAAAGCGAGATCTCCAACGGTTCTCCCATTGCGAACTAACTCCAAATTGTAGAGAAAGAACAAATTTGATAGAATTAGGAACCACCCAACTGAACCCTAGATCGGATTCCAAATAGATCTCCTATCCACACGAGGAAAGCGAAATCTCCAACGGCAACTCCTAATGCTATCTCCACCGAAGCCTAGAACTCCAAGAACCAAGCTTCACACAAGAATCTTCCTCCACCAAAAAACCCTAGATCTGAAATCTGGGCTCTGATACCACTTGTCGCGCGCCTTTGCGGAAGCCTTGCACGAACTCACAACGAACCTATGATCACGAGTAGAAGAAAGCCAAACACTTGCACAAACCAAGCCAATTACGACAAATCAAACCAAACACAAGGATATACGTGGTTCGGCAATTGCCTACGTCCACGGGGAGAGGATGGGGAGATTTCACTATATGGAGGAGAAATACAACGGGTTACAACTCACAAAATCACTCAAATATAACCCTAACCAAAGCTCTCAACTCCCTCACAATATCTCCCTCTCAAAGTGCTCAAAACAATGCTAAATCTCTTCTTTTCTCTCCTTAAGAAACCCTAAAAAACGTGGTCCTATTTATAATAAAACACAATCCCAAACAAAGGAGGATTCCTCAACAAATAAGGATTCTAAAAACGAGTCTGCCACACCCTGCACCATGGGTGTGGCAGAGGGTGTGGTGCAGGAGTGGTGCAGGACAGATTCTGCCACACCCTGCACCGTGGGTGTGGCAGAGGGTGTGGTGCAGGACAGGCTCTACCACACCCATGGCAGACACCACACCAGGGGGTGGTGGAGTCTGTTTTGAGTTATTCTTCACGTTTTTCACAATTCCTTCGCCGTTTTCACAATTCTCCACCTCGGCGAAGTGTTCCCAACACTGAGCCGACACCAACATGAGCACCAATGTGTCGTCTCTCTAAACTCGGCTGCACCAATGCGGTTGCCTACGTACCCCCTCTCCCAAGGGATCAAGCCGCCCGTAGTTCATCCAAATGGCCGCCAACGGCCTCAACAATTACGAATGTGCAACAAGTTTCGACAATGATCAAACTTGTTGCTCGGAACCACCTTAGTGAGCATATCTGCCGGATTATCCTTCGTGTGGACTTTCACAATTTCCACATCGCCATCTTCAAGAACATCCCGAACGAAGTGATAACGAACGTCAATGTGCTTCGTCCTCGCATGAAAAACCTGATTCTTCGCCAAATATATAGCACTCATGCTATCGCAATGAATAGTGACGGATCGCTGCGATATACCAAGTTCTTCCAAAAGTCCTCGAAGCCAAATAGCCTCCTTCACAGCCTCCGTAACTGCCATATACTCTGCCTCCGTCGTAGACAAAGCCACCGTAGACTGTAAGGTGCATCTCCAACACACCGGCGCACGGGTCAAAGTGAACACATACCCCGTAGTAGACCGGCGCTTATCCAAATCCCCGGCATAATACGAATCAACATAACCAATGCATAACTACCCACCTGTAGTGTCCCGCTCATAAACCAAACCAACATTGAGCGTACCTCTAATGTACCTCAAAATCCATTTCACGGCGTCCCAATGACCCACTCCTGGATCGTGCATGTATCTCTAAAAGTTAATTATAAATAAAAATATGGTGGGGTAGATATGTTGGTGATTTGGAATATTTAGAAGTGATAGTGGGGTCCAAATTAGACATGAATAAGACACCATTGGAAATGGTGAATGTTTGTGGGGTGATCTTGATTATGTGGAAGAGAGAGAATATTATGTGGCATGTTGGGAATGACAATTAAATAGGACACCATTGGAGATAGTCTTAGATTAATATGATAAGCAAAAGCAGGTATTGTGCTATAAAGCCTCTGTATAGCTCATTTATTTTTTGAATCTTCCACTTTTTTTTTAGTTTTTTTTGGTTTTTTTTTTCTTTTATTTTTTCCTTTAATTTGGTTGAGATTTTGGGAAATAATTCTTTTTGGGAGGATAAAGCAAAGGACGTTAACCACTGATAAGTGATAACTCCAGCAAAATAGTTTATTTCTCAAATTAGCAACAGGAGACCCTTTTAAAACATCTGCGCGCACAAGATAAAGCGATGAGAATCTAAAGACAAATTAAGGTAGTTAACCAGCAGAACAATGCTAGCAGCGAGCTTCATCAAAAGAAACACAGGTTCCAACTTCATGCAACAGACAGAATACAAAGGACAAAGTTGTGACACGTACTTATGAATCTCAAGGCAACCACGATCTCAAGAAGAAGAAGAAAAGAACTAAAAGATATTTTGAACTTTGTTTAATAATTGGTGCGTGTATTACATCTATTCACCAATGTAATGATCTTAAATTTTGTGAACTTTGTTTAATAATCTGTGCCCTCCGTGCCCAACAACCTTGGCTCTCCGATAAATAGTTTTTGGAGTACCGATGGCAGCGACTGTAATTTGACCATGTTATCATCAAAGCGGTCACAGGTACTAAAAAGGTTATTATGAACGCAGAGAGGGTTTTGAAAATTAAGGGAAAGGGACTTGAGGGAGAAGATTTAAAATAACCTGAAGTCTGTTAAATTAAAAGTTTATTTGTATAGACTTGTTGATGATGCTAATTATTTATTGGCTTGCTGAGGAATACGCATAAGAATTTTTTAGTGTAGAAATTTGCGAAACGTTTGGGATGATGAAGTGAGAAGGAAAATATTACTATAATTACAATGTTACCCTTATAATTAAAAATAAATAAAAATCTAATTTTGAAGCATCGCTCTATATATTTATAAAAAGCTCCTGTTACAGTCGATGACTTGCACAAACGTGGACATTAATCACAGTTATAAACTTATTACCCTCTAGAGAATTTAACGGGTAATTTTGGATTATAACCCATGTAGCTTCTAATCTGCAAATAGAATAAACAAGCGGGTTTTAAGCAAAAGTGATTGATAAATTTAGAGGATAACAGTTCATTTTTAATAGTAGAGTGTTTCGTCATCACTACAGTCAAAACAATGAAAAAACCTTTAATAAGATTGGAGAGAGATAAATGAGACTCGGAATTTTGTGAAATACGACGAATATCATGAACTTTCATCTGGTCAAACTTTGTGACATATAACCCACCCAAAAAAATAAGCTAGATAACTCCGGCTTATTTTTTAGTAGCAATAAATCATTTGCTAAGCATGCCAAACATGCTCTAAATCACAACTCCAATCGCAACCAACTTGGAAGAAGAAAAGTCCAAAAGGTCTAACAAATATCTACAGCTACAACTATAGTCAGAAAACTGCAAAACTTTATCATCGAACCAAAGAAACTATAACTACAACTGAAACTGCATTTTGACAACTATAGTTACAAATTGCAGAACTTCGTTGTTAAACCAAGCGACTAGGGGTACGGCTGGCATTGCACGTGACAAACAGTTGCAGGAACCGTAGTGGCATGCAACTAGAATTTGCTTAGTTAGATACAATAAACAAAGCAGCCTCTAAGTTCAAACTTCTCATCGGCTACAAATTTAATTGTTCCGACAGCACTCAACGTGGCCTGAAAATAAGAGAATAATCAGACAACCATAAACCAATTTAACTAAAAAAAAACAATTAGCAACATATTGCATAAATAGGTACTCCCTGCCTGATTCAAAAGTTTCTCATAGCAATAGGGAGCATTCATCAGAAAGTGCTAACGAAGCTAACAAAATGCGCCATTTAAAATAAATTATACGTTTCGTTAACAGCATATAACTTGTCACAGAGTTTTGAGAAAAGAGTAAGAAGTAGTGGGCATAATTCTCAACGAGTAGTAGTAATATACGTGAATGGTCTGGTCATTGAGGGTTTTAAATTGAGGAATGATATCGATTTTAGCAATAAATGAAATGCGTAAGGAATAATAATCGAATGGGTAGCTATCCCTATAGTCCAAATTTCAATTCAAGCAATCTTTTTCGCTCGGCCAACTGAAGGGAAAGTTGTGCCATCCTTCTTGGAGCCAGGAGCTTCAGGTTTTCTCGCCCAAGCAGGAGCTCGATCTGGCTCATAGCGATAGTCATAGAAGAGCTCCTCTCCTGCACTTATTCGCTCTTTTGCAAATATACCAACTCTATGATCCCCTGCTACCATTATAACCTTTGCATAGCAGTTCGGATCAGGGGAATGGTTGGCAAACTTCAACTTGTCACCTTTCCGATAAGCATCCAGAACAAACTGCACCAAAATAATAGAAAAGTCAAAGAGATACCGTGGTGTAAGTATAACCAGCAAGCTTTTTATTGACAAAGGGGCACAAAAAAAAAGACATACCTGGTCATTGAGGTTGAAAAGAAAAGATGAATTTTCACGGTCATATATCTTCCCGCGTTTATCCGCTTCTCTATGAGAGATTAACTCCCCGGTGTACTCCCCAAGGTATTCGTGTTTTCCAACGCTATTCTGTAGAAAACATCAAGTCGTCACTTGTTTGAAGGTAGAAGGAAAATTAGAAATTTGTGGAGATAGTTTTACCTTGAGGAAAGCACCCCAACCCGAAACATCAGATCTCCCAAGTAAAACCTACAAGCATATATCGCTAAATATAAAAGGTTTGCTTCATTTTTTTTCAACGATAGAACCAAAAAAAATTAGGGAGGTCATGACTAAAACTTTCATTTCGAAAAAATCATCACAAATCAAGCAAGTGTTCAAAGGATTCCTGTAGCACAGAAGTAAAACAAAAATAAAAGCTACATCAACCAATATCATATTCTTCGTAATTGCTTTCAATAAGTTCTTCTGCACCTACCTCTAGGTTCTCCTAATTTAATTAATTATAATCTTATTGCTTCAGTGCATTTTGCAGACCTCATGCACGCAGCCAAACAACCCTAATTGAGTTGTTATATTTTATCCTGTATTCTGTGTATAATTATCTCTCCTTCATTTCTTCCCGTGCTACTTATTTCTCCAACATATATACATTTAATTGCATCAATATACCTACTAGACAACTGTTCATTTTCTAAAATTCATTGCACTATTTTTTTGGATTAATAAAACACACTTTGTATATCCTTTCTCTTCTCCTTCTATCTACCCATCAATCATTTTCGTACTTAAGTTTCATAGTTAACCTCACACACATAATCAAATTGGTTTTGCGATAAACTAGTCTCTTTTCTGAGTCATTGCTTAATTACCCTCACCCAAGTTTCATGCCATTGCTCATAAAATGTGATACAGCGTTAGCTTGAACAACTTTGTATATTCCCATTATTCTTGTGTATTGGTACTGAAATGATTCATTGAAGGTGGCCAAAGAATGAAATTAAAGATTATCAACAGAGAATCTAGCATCACAAAAGGACAAGGCACTATCCATGGGGCTAGCACTGCTGATATTATACTACACAACAAGTAATGTTATTCCATAGACTACAGGTTTGCAGCCCACAAGGTCCACAATAGAATTTGTAACAGACCATTGCAACTAAACTGAAGTCTGCAATCTAACATCGAAAACTTAGAAGAACTGGTAGTTAACAATATTCATATTCAATAGCTCATGTAAAAGTTTCTTGTTTGTTTACCAATCTGCTAATATACGAAATGGCAGTGAACATTAAAAACGCATTAATTGAAGAATGTAATTTCATAGGTAACTTTACCCTTTGCTGTTGTTTCAGGAGAAGCTTCATGTTCCTGCATTCATAATTATCTCCTCTTTGACTAGGTACACCTAAACTACCATCACCACACCTACATAGAAAAATATAGAGATAATAGTGAAAATATAATTGGAATTATTACCGAACTTATGAAAATGATCACATTGTGAGCAAAGTCAGGAAAGTATACTATCGTTAGGCTTTGAGAATCATACCCAATCCAGCAATTTCTGCAAATATCAGGATCACATTCTCTATCAGCAGCAAAACATGGGCATTGACGACTTCGACATTGGCTCTTTGCACAATGACACCCTCGAAACCGATTCTTGCATATCTTGGGACACCTGTTGTTGACAAAGATAATAAACTATCAAAAAGCAAAGCACAACCCAGTAAGTTTATAGTCCTAAGGGTTTCATCCAAAGGAAGATAGGTGTAACCCTAATGCCCCATTCAGTACACGGGAATGAGATCAACTGAGAATGGAATAAAATAAGGAATGGAACCAAATTAGTATGGGGAATGGAACGCTCATTTCCGTTCTCACTTCTAGGTGCAATTAGAGAATTAAGTGGGAATGACAATCTTTTTAATTTTGGCATGGGTAATGGGTAATTAATAAGCAATCACGGCACAGTTAGTGTGTATTTTGATTTTTTTTTCATTCCATCTTATTCCTTACCAATTCATTGGGAATGCCCATTCTCACAAAATATGGGAATGGTTGAGAAGTCAAAATTGGCATTCTAGCTTCCAAAAACATGTTGTGCCTGGTACGCGTGAATGAGAAGTGGGAATGAGCATTCTATTGCCACCCATTCCCGCAAACCAAACAAGGGAACAAGTATTCTCATCCTAAATAAGACCCAAGTGATTTTCAGCCTAACCATGTCATTGTGGCCTACTTGTTACAAAAGCTCCAGATATAGGAAATTCTAGTTAGGAGCTATATATATATATATATATATATATATATATGCTCCTAACTCCTACTAGAATTTCCTATATCTGAGGCTTATATATATATATATATATATATATAAATATATATATATATATATATATATATATATATATATATATATATATATATATATATATAAAAGCTCAGATATAGGAAATTCTAGTTAGGAGTTAGGAGCATATATATATATATATTATATATATATATATATATATATATATTATATATATAGAGAGAGAGAGAGAGAGAGGGACTATAATAAATATTGAGATTTGAGTGATAAATAATAATTTTTAAAAACTAAATAGTAACTGTATATAAGGAAGAGTGGGGACAAACAATAATTAGAAAAACTGAATAGACAAAAACCCTACACTAGTAGTTTAAAGATAGTGTTATAGGATGCATGAAAGACCAAGTTGTCATCCGCATGAACGATGAGGATATTTCTTAGTGTTGTATAAATGTACGACAGTCAGACAAATTAGGTTGCATAAATAGCAACTCATCAACTATAATATCATGCGTATATTAATATCCTATAGTGGCAATGCAAATGGCATGATCAGACATGTCATGCCCTAGGACCGCGAGCTATTCGCATGACGTAAGCCCTGAGACCCATGAACGGCAACACATGGTTTGACTCAATCCACTGCCAAAATTGACTAGTAAATGTTACGCTTCACTCTGTCGACTTACATCATAAACCATTCAATCACTAAATCATATGAGACTAAATCTTAGGGTATCACAAGAACCCCACCTTAATTAGGCGACGTCCTTATCTCGGCATGACAATTGGTTCGTCCTAGTATCACCACCAAACAATGTCGAGAGGTGGCTCCTACTGGCTTCTCGAGGTAGCACCGCACTCACACGGTATAGCACATAGTTCCGCATAGCACTTAACTCTAAATTTCGCATAGCACTTAACTCTAAATTTCCAATTGGCTAAGTGCTAGCCTTAGGCCCGCGAGCTCATTGGCATGACGTAAGCCCTGGGACCCGTGAAGTGCAACACATAGTTCCACTGCCAAAATTGACCAGTCACTATGGCACTTGACTCCTTTGACTTGTATTACAAACCATTCAATCACCAAATCAATAGCTGATGTCGGTCTAAATCTTGGAGTATGTCATTACCTTTGGGCTGTATGAAGATGACAAGAATATATAGGCTGTAGCCATATGTCAACATTAGTATGCTTTGACTAGATGCATATTTCTCATCTATGGTAGATGAATATGATGACCAGGGATGCAAATTACATACAGCATTTGCTAACACCATTCTTTTAAAAAAAATCAAGGATACAAAAACAGTACAGTCAGGAATACCCATCCATATCTGCCAAAAACCATTTACTTATATGAATCAAACGTGAGGGAAATTAACACACATATACAAGTTAAATATAAGGGGAAAAGCTTAAAAGATTCAGGTCATATGATAGGATAATCTAACTGCAACAGAATATCTCCATTCAAAGTTGAGCAATGTGTTTGACACATCCACACATCTGAAGTTAACCGCTGGATCATCAAAATAGGCACGAAATCTACTAACCTATGGCTAATATAATCTCAGTTATTTGATCCATGCAAATATCCAAATGCCAGGCCATATTCAACATTTCACCTATTTTTTTATCAGTGTCTGTACCTAACTAACATAGAAAATGATGTATATCCATAGGCCATATTCAACATTTCACCTATTTTTTTATCAGTGTCTGTACCTAACTAACATAGAAAATGATGTATATCCAT